AGTCTTCTTTAATCAAATAAATATTTTATTACAATTATTACTATTATAAATTGTTATTAAGATCTATATTCAATTTGTTTTTTATTTGTTACTGGGCTTAGGTCGTTTATTTAACATATAAATTTATAAAAATGTTTTTTAAATAAAATAAAAAATTACACTCTTTAAACTGTGTCAAATATTTATTTATATTTTAATTTTTATACAAACTGTAATGGCGAATTTATACACGACGTTATGGGTCTTAAAAAGAAAATGTTGACCATTAAAATGACATTGCCACTTACAAAGTTTTGAAATGAGACCCACCTCAAAATTATAGACTAAAAACAACAAACTAGTCGAAAAATTATTCAAAGAGAATGCATTTGGTATTGCAAAAAAGAATAAATTAATTACTTACACAGCTACGGTACCACAAATCTATGGTTAGCCGAAAATACATAAGATGGACATCCCTTTAAGACCCAAAACGTCGTGTGTAAATTCGCCACCACACAAATTATCTCAATATATTGCATCTATATTAAAAAGTATAACGATAGATTTTGTGTCTATAATATCAAAGATACTATTGCTTTCAAAGAATAAATTAGCAATTCATGTATTTTTGACAATGACAGACTAGTTTCCTTCGATGTAATCTCATTATTTCCAAGCAACCAATAGATTATGCATATAAAGAAACATTTATGGAGATTTTACGCTTCCTCCTTAAAGAAAATAGTTGCTTTATATTTGAGAACAAAATTTACAATCAAACGAAAGGGATGCCAATGGGTTCTCCGATATCACCTATTGTAGCAGATATTGTGGTGGAGAATATCTTAGACAAAATGATGGACGAAGTAGCTAAAAAAGCCAGACTGCTTACCAAATACGTAGACGATATATTTGCTGTTACAAAAATTGACAACATAGAGAGTACATTACACACACTAAATAATTTATCTTATATATATAATTCTTCTGTACGTGTGTTGACAGTGAACTCCTCCTAAACGGCTGAACCGATTTTGATGAAATTTTTTGTGTGTATTCAAGTGGATTGAAGGAAGGATTAGATTCACAATTTAGCCCACTGGATAATGTCTTTTTAATTAATTTTTTATTTTTTGGTATCCATGTACATTTATATTAGAAATTTAAAATTTATTCATGCTCACTTTGATTTGTTTAAAAAGTTTAAAATCTCTAAAATGAAAAACAATGCTACGTCTTCGTGGACGAGGAGGAAATATTGGTCGACGAACTCGGAATTCACAATTACAACAGACTGGCCCGTCAACGAGTCACCAACACATTCAGAACACGTGAACAACAGCGTTTGCAAGTGTATTGCGCATTGACACGTTCATCATTTCATCGCCTTGCGTTTGAATATAAGTCGGATATCGACTATTCGTCACATTCACGAATTGTCATCTGTGCTATGAACAAACAGTGCCAACACTGTCATGCACTTAAATACAAAGGTGAATCGGCCGGTTTCTGCTGCGCATCTGGAAAAGTTGTATTGCCACCATTGAATTCGCCGCCAGAATCTTTGAAAGCACTATTGGCTGGACCTACATCTCAATCTAAATTGTTTTTTCGAAAAATTCGCAAATTTAATTCGTGCTTTCAAATGACATCATTTGGAACAACAAAAATCGTTCAGAATGAGAATGGTCGCAACTTTCAATCAACGTTTAAGATTCGGGGCCAAGTGTATCACCAAATTGGTTCTTTAATGCCGATGCCCAATAACGATCCCAAATTTCTGCAAATCTACTTCATGGGTGATGAGAAGCAACAAATAAACGCACGTTACCAGTACAACCATATCGAGCAGATGGAGGAGTAAGAAATTGTGGGTATTTTAAAACCATTTTTAAAAAATCACAACCAGTTGGTCCAGTTGTTCAATACCGTTTCAAACTGACTGCTAAACGACAACTATACAAACCAGGAATGCTACCATATAACTTAAGATTAAAAATTGGCTCACCTATAATCATGCTGCGGTGAAATTATTTGCGAAATCTGACAGACTTACCAACACCGCGTTATCAAATCTCTGAATGGTTGCAGGCTCCTCGTGGAGGTATGCAGACCTGAGGTCAATAATTACTTAGTCTGATTAAGTGATAAACAATAACCTTTTTTCATTTAAAATGTAGTGCTTATAAGGATTTGAAGTAACATGAAAATATTTGTAACATAAGTAATGCATGTGGGCTTTTTGTAGATCAAAAGAAAAAATCAATGCAAAATAATTTTCGCATTAAAATGCTAAAGGTTAAGTTGATTAACAACAAATATTATAACTCAGCTGAGCCAGGAAAATTAATTGCAAGGGGAAACAACGTTCGCCGGGTCAGCTAGTATAGATATATAAAGTTTACCGAAGAAGAAGAAGAATCTGAAAAACTTGCCTATCTTGACGCAATAGTTATAAGACACAACAATAAACTTAAAATTAATTGGTATCAAAACCGTACAAAAACTGAACGATATATTAATTACAACTCGCAACACTCTCATCGTATAATACGGAACACAGCTCTAAATTTGATTAGACGTGTACTGAATATCAGCGATCCAATTTTTCATAAAAAAAATGAAAAAATTCTAATTGACATATTGCTAAAAATTATTATCCCAAACGGACGATATATTCTCTTCTAAAACAAGGGAATACAGTACGTAGAACAAAATCCGATCCCCAACCAAAAATTAATCTTTCTATGACGTATATCCCTGGGTTTTCGGAAAATTTCAGTAAATCCAAATGCCAGAAATACACTTAAAAATCATTTTTTAACAAAAAAACTCCAATGGACAAATTAAATGAGCATGATGTCGTATACAAAATTCCATGTGGAGATGACGGGTCTAACATATGTAAGCAGGTATATGTTGGTACAACAAAAAACAAGCTCAGGACGAGAATCGCTGGTGACAAACACTACATAAAGAGCAAACTAACTCCCTATGACCAAAAGACAGCATTAGCAACTCATTGCTCTATGATGAACCATATTCCAAATTTTGACGAAGTAGAGATCATCAACAAAGAGTCAAATTATAGACGTAGACTAATGCTGGAAATGTCACACATCATTGAAGTTCCGGACAATCAGAGACTAGACTACAAAAAAGACACAGAGGATCTTGCACAAATACACAGGTCTCTGATCAATCATAGAAAAAATTAATATATAATTATTAAATTTAAAATAATTTATCCTTCATTGTTAGAATGGGCCGTTTTCGCATTTGTGTTCTTTATCCGTCAATTTGTAAGGATACGCAGATTTTTTTCCCAGGCATTACTTGACTGTTTTCTTCACATTCGTAAAAATTTAAAATTCTATTGGTTACATATTTTCCTAGCGGTGGCTTTTTGGATTTGGGTCTTCTAAGATTCATTTCTCTGAAGTAAGTTTTTTAGCAACAGTAGTCATACATTTTGTAGCGTTTGAGAAGTAAGTCGTGACCCTTTCGGATAGACCACTATTTTTATTTTCATAGTTCTATCTGCTGTGCCATTAAAATTTTCCTGCAGATTTTTTAAAATTGATGCGAGTCATCTTCTTCATCGCTATTCTTAGAGTTATCCGCAGGAATATTAAAAATTTTAAATTTGCGATTTATTTATTCAATAAAAATACTTTTGAGAATACTAACGTCTTTAAAAATTTCATTTTTATGTAGAATTTAATGATAAATTCAATACAGGAATAAAAAGTAAAAGTTTTTATATCGTTTTCCTTCGAAAATTGATTTCATGGTACTTTGGTGCGTATGAGTAACGTGAAGGACACCTGATTAATTAATTTTTTTTAATTACTTCTAAAATGAATATCACAGTCGAAATATTTTTGAAGTAGAATTTATATATTAATTTGAATCAAAACTAAAAAAAAAAAATTTTTGTGACATATGCCTTTTTTTTTTTTAACTGAAAAATCGTGTGTATGTATTTGGTGTGATATGAAAGATAAATAAATTTTTAAAAGTACTTCTAATTACAATATCGTCCTGAAATTTTTGGGTTTTATGTAGAATTTTATTACTAATCGAAATCAAAAATATTATATAAGAATATATGTAATATATTCTTTGAAAATTCATTCAATAGAAATGTAGTATGCATGTGCATGATGTGTTTTGCGAGAGAAAAAAAATATTAAAATATTTAAAAAAATAACGGTTTCCTGAAAATTTTTATTTTGTAGTAAAATTTAAAACTGAATCTAAATAAAATATAAAAAATGAAAATTTAAAAACTACTTTTGAGAAATTTTTTTTTTGAAATTTAACGGTTAATATTAGTACTTAAATATTAACAAATTTCAAGTTTCTACCTTTTATAGAACTTGAGATATAGCCATTTGAAAATGTGTCTACTATGCCAATTTTCAAAACCCCATGGGTCCATATCTCCTAGGAAAAAAATCACAAAAAATTTTCCCGAGATACGGGTCTTCTTATTTTATGAAAGGAACTCATAAAAAATTTCAGCCATATCGGAGATCATGAGGTCAAAAAGGTGTCCGAGTTGTAAAAGAATGACCCATAAGCAGAAATTTTATCTTAACATACAGAAGCTGCGATTTTTCTTCTGAACACTCTCCAGTTATATTTTGTTTACAGACTTAGAACAAACTGGGTCAAATATAAAAAGTACATCAATTCACACATACACACAAACTACAAGATAAAGTGTAAATCTCATATTGAGGACGCAACCTCGGTTTTAAACTCAATTCTGATTTCAGCAGCAGAAAATTCCACCCCTAAAGACAATAAAATTTACAGATCCAATAAAGTACTTACAAATATTGACATAGAGAATTTAGTTTTATAAAAACGTAGATTAAGGCATGAATGGCAAAAATTTAGGTCTCCTTCAGCGAAAAACTTATTTAGGGAAGCCCAAAGGAGACACAGTACTGCATTAGGCAAGGAAACCAAAATCAGGCAATATAATTATATTCAAAACCTATGGCCAAATGGCAGAAACCATTCATCCTTGTGGAATGCTAGCAAAGGTATAAATTCCCCCATAGATTTCGATTCTCCAATAAGAAACTCTCTCGGAAACTGGGCGCGAAGTTATGAAGAAAAATCTAACATTTTTGCTGATTATCTAAAAGAGGTGTTCCAACCAAATCCTGCAACAGGACATTATGACTTTCCCACTCAGGATCTACATGTACCATCTGTTGACATGAATATCACGGCCAATGATCTTGTTCAAATAATCACAAACAAGTTAGATTGCAAAAAGGCACCGGGATGTGATTATATCTCAACCATCATGATAAAAATCTTATCCCTTTTGGCTATAAATTTTATCACATGACTTTTTAATGACATTATTAAATTTGGCTTTTACTCAACAGAGTGGAAAACATTCATGATTATTATGATTCATAAATCAGGTAAATATCACACGCTTGCCTCTTCATACAGGCCATTAAGGTTACTGCCATGCCTTTCTAAACTCTTTTAAAGAGCCCTGCTTTTAACATAAAGATATTCCTTGACGGTTAAAACCTAATACCCTCTCACCAGTTTGGTTTAAGGGAAAAACATGGAACTATTGAGCAAGTTAATCGTATAACGAACGAAATAAGATGTGCATTTGAGCTCAGAGAATATTGTTCCGCGGTCATTCTCGATGTTAAATAAGCCTTTAATAAAGTATGGTATAATGGGCTCCTATATAAGATACGCTGTTTATTACCTTCAAATGTCTACGCAGTTTTAGAATCGTATCTGCATAATAGAAGTTTTAAAGTTAAATGTAAATCATATACTTCTAATAATTTCCCAATAGAAGCTGGCGTTCTACAAGGAAGTGTCCCAATAAGTAACTCAGTCGTCACCACAACGTTTGCTCATGATACGGCAATTTTATGTCGAAACAAAACCGCTATGCTAGCTTCAAACCAACTTCATTCTCACTTATTTCGGGTGGAGAAATGGTTGTCAAAATGGCGAATTAAAATTAATGAACTAAAATATTTTATTTTATTTTATTTTATTTTGTTTTGTTTTATTTTATTTTATTTTATTTTATTTTATTTTATTTTGTTTTATTTTATTTTATTTTATTTAATTTAATTTTATACAATGCATAGTTAAATTAAAAGTTGTAATATTATGTACAACTTATTGGTAGTCTCATTCTAAGAGAAGATGCAATAAATAAATGTATGTTTAAAAAGAAAAAATTTTATTTGTATTCTATCTTGAAAAAGACCAGAATAATATATATTTTAAAATATATTTTAATTTTTCCATTAGCTTAGGTAAAAATAATCTTTCACTTGCGATTTGGTCTAAATAAAATTTTGATGAAAAATAAACAAAAACAAAACTACTAGTTCATTTTGTTAGAAAAATTTTATCTCATGTGATATCATATCAACATACATATGATATGGTTGAATCAATATGATGCGTAGTAGTGTAGAAATTCAGTACCTTTAATATTCGTTCAGTATTTATTGAGGAATGTTTTTCAACAAATCTGTGAATGAAAGTAATACTAATTACAATACATAAATATTAACATCAATCATGTTATTTCAGTTTGAAGGTGCTTTTGATGCAAGACGTCTTGGAAATTGGGAAATACCTAAACAGTATCCATCCAGACCACGCACACGTCAAGGAAATACAACATTTATTGCCAACAATAGTGGACATTTGCTTCCTCATATTAAAAAGTAATTTCAGTTGAACTTATCTTTATTAATTCTATAAGACTTTAATTTCCAAAAATTTAGAACCGACGAACATCCATGGGGAAATTTTAAAAGCACATACGAGTTACCAAAAAGAATAACAAGAGAATTTATTGAAAATTATAATTATTGTTTAACCAACCCTAACAGATATAAGCACTTTGGAGAGGAAATTAAAACTTGTAACGAAATTAAAAACTCGATATGTGAACCAAAATGTGTGGCAATAAAACGTATTATAGATATCAGCAAACTACAAGAGAAGGTGCAAAAACATAGAAAAACTCAACGTTTGGCCTTTGTCTGCAAAAACAAATAAGTTTCAATTTAATAGAATCAATTTGAATAAATTTAGTCAAAATAAAATAATGGACATGGTAAATTAAGTTTGCAAAATTTTTATTGTTCAATGTACTTTATTAATTTTATATATAACTACGTTCTTATTTAATAATATTCTATTGCAAGCACTCTGATTTAGAATATATACCAGGCGACTTCACGTCACCACGACATCAGCATTCATCACGGGAACTTTTACTTCGACAAAAGTATGAGAGAGATAAAAGTATAGCACCAGAATTGCCTTTGCATAAATTTAATCTGGAAAGATATAACAATTATTTAACAAAAAAAAATCTGTCATTAAATACATGTTCACCAATTTTGTCACATACATCGTCAAAGAAGACACCGTTTTCGCCACCTGTCGAAGACATATGCTTAAACCAGGAATTGCAAAATTCAGAATATAATATGATTAAGTCTGTTAATTCCATAGCAGATAAACCCAACGAACGTTGCCCGTCTCCAATAGTACCCGCTTACGCAAATTTTGAATTAGCAAAACGTATGCATAGTGAAAACTTGGACCACCAACCTTTACCTGATTGTGTGGCAGATTTGGCATATCGAAAATTACAAATATCAGGCGGTCAACCTGGTCTTGGTCTAGAAATTGATCCAGTTGCCACCGGAGTTGGCATGAAGTCATACAAAGCTGGCCCTACTCATTGCACAAAATTAAAGGTATATCGTCCAAAAACTTGTGGTGTAGTACCGAGATCATACAATTTAACCGGGAGTCCACTCTACATATCTGCAGATCAAAATAAAAAAATGAGTGCAATGGATCTAGCAATTTGCTGGGACTATACTCCTTTAAATCCCAATGATGAACCACAACGTGCAATGCATATAGATGGCTCCAATGACTCCGCTGGACCTGCAGTGTTTACACATGTTAAGACACCACGTGAAGATGTTGCCACCAGTACAGGTCGTTCTGCAGGAGTTTTTAACAACACTTTAGGTGAAGCTAGTTTTTTTGATAAAGACATATTAAGTAGGAAAACTGACTTTATTGGAAAGAATTTGGATAAAGATGATAATTGTGTGTGCGACTCAAATGATTTTGATATACCGCATCGCTCACATAGCGTTTCGAATATACTTAACCAAACAATGCCACCGCGCTATAGCAAGCAATACCAATCTACTTCCAGTGATATGACTCAACAAAAATTAAAGGCTTTACGTAAAAAATATTTAGGTACAGATGACGGTGGTCCAATTTGTTTGACTGAAGCTACGGAACCAGCTTGCAAGCGAAGTGGTTTCTTCCGACGCGCTCGTTCTCGTCTTTGTCATAAAGTAGCACCACAATCCGCTTGTTGTCCTACAAATAACTTTGAAACGCGTTACCCATGTAAATCAATTTTTCGAATTGGGAACACAAAATACAACAGAGCAGGTGAATTTATTAACTCTAATAGTGGTTGTTGTATTGGAAACCATAACTCTAATAAAGTTTTAGTGATTCCTAGGCCAAGAAATCCATACAAAAGAAAAAATTATAGCATTGATACTTTAGTTCCCCCTTTTACAAGTTATCAAGGTGGAGCAGGACAGGGAGGATATCCTGAACATTGGCGATTGGCTAGTGTATATCAACACGCTTATAAACCACTAGCACAACGACGAAAACCGCTTTTGCAAACTGTTTATAAATAATATTTAAACACATAATAAAAGTATTTTAAATAAACGAACGCAGCTATTAAACACAAATTTTGTGAATTACATACAATATGCAGATAAATTCACAATTATAGTCACTTTTGTTAACTCTCTTATTATAGTTATTACCACAACAATGACATGTAGTAAGAAAATAAAGGTGAGCATTAAAATAACATCTGAAACGAGTGAATAAGTCTTAAAACCACTATATCTTAATGTATTGGACTATAACAGAGTTCTATAGTAAAACAACCATGTAAAACAGTTAAACGATTAAATGAAATTAAAAAGAAAAATTAATTTAATCAAATTAACTAAAAATAATTAACAAAATAACTTTTGTAAATCACAAATGAAAGTATCTTATTAATTGTATTAACCGATGTATAAATATACTTCACTTATATCATATTTGAATTTTTTAAAATACAATAAATAACTACACATAATTAAAAAAATGAAATTAACTAAATAAAACAAATTATAGTTGATTGAAAAAAACCATAATTATAATGATTTATATTTTTTTTTGAGTTCTCGGTTAGTTTTTTTAATGCTATTAAATAATAGAGTTCTTGGAAAAATGAGTCCTTAATAAACAAATTTCAGCAAGTCGTAAATCAATATATTTCGCTTCGCAATGGCTTACTTAGTGGATAGAATTGAACAACAATAATTAATAAGATTACAAAAGTTGAATTTTAATGTTTTACTAGTACTGGCCGAATGTTAGTAATATTATATCAAATTACTATAAAATAAAAAACTGAGCCTAAACCATCTCATCCTTATAAAATTTGATAAAATAATCAGAAATATCATTCATTCGATTTAATTAATATTAAGATCCCCTAGCATATATTCCTTTCTATAATAGATTATGAAAAAAGAATAATAAAAAACAAAAGATATAAAAATTAGTCTTCTTTAATCAAATAAATATTTTATTACAATTATTACTATTATAAATTGTTATTAAGATCTATATTCAATTTGTTTTTTATTTGTTACTGGGCTTAGGTCGTTTATTTAACATATAAATTTATAAAAATGTTTTTTAAATAAAATAAAAAATTACACTCTTTAAACTGTGTCAAATATTTATTTATATTTTAATTTTTATACAAACTGTAATGGCGAATTTATACACGACGTTATGGGTCTTAAAAAGAAAATGTTGACCATTAAAATGACATTGCCACTTACAAAGTTTTGAAATGAGACCCACCTCAAAATTATAGACTAAAAACAACAAACTAGTCGAAAAATTATTCAAAGAGAATGCATTTGGTATTGCAAAAAAGAATAAATTAATTACTTACACAGCTACGGTACCACAAATCTATGGTTAGCCGAAAATACATAAGATGGACATCCCTTTAAGACCCAAAACGTCGTGTGTAAATTCGCCACCACACAAATTATCTCAATATATTGCATCTATATTAAAAAGTATAACGATAGATTTTGTGTCTATAATATCAAAGATACTATTGCTTTCAAAGAATAAATTAGCAATTCATGTATTTTTGACAATGACAGACTAGTTTCCTTCGATGTAATCTCATTATTTCCAAGCAACCAATAGATTATGCATATAAAGAAACATTTATGGAGATTTTACGCTTCCTCCTTAAAGAAAATAGTTGCTTTATATTTGAGAACAAAATTTACAATCAAACGAAAGGGATGCCAATGGGTTCTCCGATATCACCTATTGTAGCAGATATTGTGGTGGAGAATATCTTAGACAAAATGATGGACGAAGTAGCTAAAAAAGCCAGACTGCTTACCAAATACGTAGACGATATATTTGCTGTTACAAAAATTGACAACATAGAGAGTACATTACACACACTAAATAATTTATCTTATATATATAATTCTTCTGTACGTGTGTTGACAGTGAACTCCTCCTAAACGGCTGAACCGATTTTGATGAAATTTTTTGTGTGTATTCAAGTGGATTGAAGGAAGGATTAGATTCACAATTTAGCCCACTGGATAATGTCTTTTTAATTAATTTTTTATTTTTTGGTATCCATGTACATTTATATTAGAAATTTAAAATTTATTCATGCTCACTTTGATTTGTTTAAAAAGTTTAAAATCTCTAAAATGAAAAACAATGCTACGTCTTCGTGGACGAGGAGGAAATATTGGTCGACGAACTCGGAATTCACAATTACAACAGACTGGCCCGTCAACGAGTCACCAACACATTCAGAACACGTGAACAACAGCGTTTGCAAGTGTATTGCGCATTGACACGTTCATCATTTCATCGCCTTGCGTTTGAATATGAGTCGGATATCGACTATTCGTCACATTCACGAATTGTCATCTGTGCTATGAACAAACAGTGCCAACACTGTCATGCACTTAAATACAAAGGTGAATCGGCCGGTTTCTGCTGCGCATCTGGAAAAGTTGTATTGCCACCATTGAATTCGCCGCCAGAATCTTTGAAAGCACTATTGGCTGGACCTACATCTCAATCTAAATTGTTTTTTCGAAAAATTCGCAAATTTAATTCGTGCTTTCAAATGACATCATTTGGAACAACAAAAATCGTTCAGAATGAGAATGGTCGCAACTTTCAATCAACGTTTAAGATTCGGGGCCAAGTGTATCACCAAATTGGTTCTTTAATGCCGATGCCCAATAACGATCCCAAATTTCTGCAAATCTACTTCATGGGTGATGAGAAGCAACAAATAAACGCACGTTACCAGTACAACCATATCGAGCAGATGGAGGAGTAAGAAATTGTGGGTATTTTAAAACCATTTTTAAAAAATCACAACCAGTTGATCCAGTTGTTCAATACCGTTTCAAACTGACTGCTAAACGACAACTATACAAACCAGGAATGCTACCATATAACTTAAGATTAAAAATTGGCTCACCTATAATCATGCTGCGGTGAAATTATTTGCGAAATCTGACAGACTTACCAACACCGCGTTATCAAATCTCTGAATGGTTGCAGGCTCCTCGTGGAGGTATGCAGACCTGAGGTCAATAATTACTTAGTCTGATTAAGTGATAAACAATAACTTTTTTTCATTTAAAATGTAGTGCTTATAAGGATTTGAAGTAACATGAAAATATTTGTAACATAAGTAATGCATGTGGGCTTTTTGTAGATCAAAAGAAAAAATCAATGCAAAATAATTTTCGCATTAAAATGCTAAAGGTTAAGTTGATTAACAACAAATATTATAACTCAGCTGAGCCAGGAAAATTAATTGCAAGGGGAAACAACGTTCGCCGGGTCAGCTAGTATAGATATATAAAGTTTACCGAAGAAGAAGAAGAATCTGAAAAACTTGCCTATCTTGACG